TCTACTTTCCTCTGTCCCTGGGGGTTCCAGTCTAGTGATATCTTCGCGATATTACCATTTTCCCTTTTCTGGGTATGCCCAATCCATCCCTATTAGCGGATATTAATATTCCTGTCTATTCGCTATTGTTTTTGTCTAAAGAGGAGCCTATTCGATCAAGCTGACCTTTGGGTTGGTGGTTTTACAATTTCTCTAGTGTTTCTGATCACGCTATTTCCCTTCAAGTCTTGTTAGCAGAAAAAAATGAATTTAGCACAAACGTTTGTTTTCCTCAAACCATCAACAATTACATTTGATTTCACATACCTGTGTGGACATACAGAAGACATACGCTTCCTATTATTATTTGTACAAGTTTTTACGTTTCATTAAAGTCTTAAACAAGTTTATTTGTTTAATGAACGTTTAATTTAGTAACAAAAAATTGTCCCCAAAGTAGGATGTTTGTTAAAATCGAATATGCAAAAAAAAAAAAGATGTAGTTCAAAAACGGATTTTTTAAGACGCGGATGTGGTGATAAATACGTCAAAAGAGTTAAGATTTTCTGTCGAGATTATGTTTAGAAAGTGGAACAGAAGATCAAAATCAACCAGAAGTTTAAGGATGTGAATTAAATATTAGCATTGAGCGACGCTGTCTTGACAAAAATGTTTTGTTATGTCCGGGGAATGAGGATATGATGGGTAAGGGGAGATTACTCTAGTTAATTTGTCTACGTGATAAAACTAATCTTGTTGTTATATTTGTTGTTCTACGTTTCTCTTGTTAAAAGTTATATGTTAAATAATACGTATTATTTTAATGCGTGCCGCAAAAAAGTTGGGTTACTAAAATTTTAGTAAAGATATTTGTAATATTTTTTGCTTATATTGTAATCTAATACCATGGATCTTTTTTAAAAAGTGTTTTCTTGATAATGTAAGTTGTTAGAGTAATTGTAATGACGTAATCGAATAAACCCTGCAGGCAAATATACAATAGTAATTTTATGTACGCTGTTGGGATTACATTTACGAAATAATATATAGTCAAGGGATAGAGTTAGGATTACAAGACCAGTTTAAGGGATAGTTAGGCTCGCTATTAGGATCATGGTGTTAGGGTTATGGTTATATTAACTGTGGCAGTTTTCATTTAAATTGTATTTAAAACATCATACCGACGTTATAAAAAGCATGGTGGTTGTTAATTTAGTGATACACTGTCCGTTTTTTTAAATTCCAATGCCGGTTCACAATTTTACAAGCGCTTTGTATCAACCGCACCATAAGGAAGTGAAATTGTATTGAAAGTTATATCTAGCTAATTAAACTTAGCTAGACTAACACATTGTATCTCAGTGAGGAAATCCCCCATACCGAAATCACATTCGCTGTCAATAGCATTTTTTTTAACTTTTTTTTTTAACTACTGGAAAGAGAAAATATAAATTGGAATAATTTTTTTTTCAAGGAATAGAGTACTCAATGACCCGTTGTGACTGTTTTGATACATATATCACGTGTTGGAAACGTGTTTTGCTTCTTTTGAATTCGGAGATATCAGCGTCATGGTTGACTGATCACAACAACCCCCTCCCCCCTTATATATTGGATCCCTACTGGCACCTCGTTACGCTTGACTGACACCTACCCCCCAGGGTTTTCTTTGCAAGCCCGTGAATTAACTTCTATAGAGTGATACCATAGGTAAACCAACTTTTTTTACAAGGGTCGATCGGTACAGGCAAGAAAAAAAAATTTTATGAATGAATCTTGAATAAAAATCGTTTCATATGACTATCAACATAAACGAAAACATGTTTTTGTAAACAACCAATATTAATGGATTGGCTGTATGACGTTATAAACATTAGTTGTAACTTTGAATCTGGTTGTATTGGCGAGGTAATAGGTTAACTGGACCTCGTCCAATGGACATTTTCATTTATTTTTAAAACTGTTTAGTTACCTCATATATATATATATATATATATATATATATATATATATATATATATATATATATATATATATATATATATATATATAATAATATAATATAATATAAAGGAAAGACCACCTGATTCCATTCTCTTACATTATAACGTACGCTAAATGTGCTAAAAGAATTAGGACTCCGCTGCCCCCCCCCCCTCCCTTTCCCTCCCCCCCCCCCCCCCACTCCCCTTCACCAAACAACTTGAAACAAAAGCTTTTAAGCCTACGAAGATTATGGGAAAAAAATTCTTTTGTTTCAAGGCGTGTTCCATGTAGAAATGTAATTTGTCAGGCCGCCATATGGAAACATGATGCGTAAGACTTTAACCCCCCCCCCCCCCACACACACACACACACAGGGTGGGTATCGGGTGTGTTATGATGAAACACAGCCCCCGAGTTACACTGTCTGGGTAATCCTATATGGTTGATGAGCTGGGGGTGGGGGGAGGGGAACACATACATGTACTAGTCTAAACTCATTGTATTATATTTCCCGCTTTTGTGAACACCCACGCGCCCGTGTAAATATGTGCATGTTGTGTCTGTGAATGTTTATTTTTTATTTTTTTTATTTATTTATCGAGTTGAATAAGTTTAACATCTACTATATACATCCACAACAAAGCCGTTACCTTAATTTATTCTGATAAATTAAGTCTTGTAACTCGAACCACATCATTATGGGTAAAGAATAATAACTGACCTTCCCTAATACTGATTGACTAGTTACCTCCCTTGATATCGATGATTGACTTCCCCTTTGGTGAATATACAGTGACCTCCCCTAAACACCTACCTTAGTAAAGTACCCTTTCGAACTTTAAGGTAAATGGTGCAGGTTAAGTTGTGTTCACCTGTTGCAATTACGTCGGCATATGAAGGGATAGTGTGATCAGCATTATACCCATCCACTTTTACTTTCTCTAACTCAAGTACGGTACCCATCAGAGCTGGGTGGACTCAGGGACATATTACGGACTTGAACCCAGGATCCGAACTCTAGGCTTTGGAGTTAGCAGTTAAAACGCGTGTACACGGTAGCAGAGGCATAGCGACCCTTCCCGGCGCCCGGGGACAAACTTTCAATTTGGCGCCCCCCCCCCCCCCCCCCCTCGGGAGCAAATTTTCAATTTGCACCCCCCCCCCCTCAACTTTTCGATTTGCACACCCCCCCCCCCCCCTCAAACAGCACAAATGCAGCTAAATTGACATTTTAATTTGTTTTTACAACCCATTTTGGCGTCCCCTAAGGTCAGCGCCCGGGGACGTATGTCCCCCCCCCCTGCCGCCCCCACCCCCATCGCTACGCCACTGCACGGTAGTGGATTTTCAAACGTACAACCCCACTGCTGGGGTTAAAAGCTTTAACCGAGGCACCTCACATTCTGTTTGATGTCTATGTTCTGCCTGCTGATGTGGAAAATGTGTTGGAGATCGATAAGTGGGAGTAACACGGAAGTGTGTCCTGATTGAGATCGATACGGGGAATATCAATTTATTCCTACCGGTCGAACCCAATACCTGTTTACTGTAATGATTATACGGCATGTTTTTAAAGGTCGTGGTAAATTGAGTTCGGAATTTTACTGATAAAATTTTAGAAAGGTGAATTTCTTTTAATATAAGACGTATTTACAAACTAAATTATCCTATATAGAGAATAATGTTATTAGTCATGGTAAAATTTCACATTTCGTGTAAAGCTGTGTATTAATGTGAAAGTGGGTGTGAAATTGAATTTAGGTGTGGTCAACTACTAAGGAATTGCGTGGTCGAGCGTTAGATTTCTTACTTAATACCTGAATGTCTCGAGTTAGAGAACAGGGGGGGGGGGGATTAAGTAAAAGTCAACTGAATGTACTTTCCTTATGCCGATCTCAAAGACAGAGATGAACTCTACTTCACCTGCCTTATTCAGAGGTATATCCCAAACAGTATGTGTGTGGTCGAAACATTACCGTCAGTGTCTTAAGTAGCCCGGACAGTGATTGCAAAAATGTGTTTCCCACGTGACATATGAAAACATTTCTCACACAACAGCACCCGTCTAACACAACGCGCATCAACAATGCTAATGGTGTTTACATTGATGTAATTTATTACCCGGCTATATGTCGTCTGCTGGCTTTTAAATGGGTCTGGGCGGGACACAGAAAGGGTTAATGACATTAAGGGGGGGGGGGGGGGGGGGAGGGGAGGTGTCATTCTGTGCCGTTATTATTTTTTTAAAACAAGTTGTGAAAAAAAAAATTAACACTCACGGTTTACATTAGTAAAATTGTGTATATAAAACAACGTAATATCTGTCTGAGCTTTTGTTTAGATCTATTTTTTTGAGCAACGCATTTAGCTCTTGCTGTGCTCTGTTTTTTTTTCTGGGCAATATGTTTAGCTCCTATCCATTGTGCGTATTTAAAAATGTATGCAGATTTGACATTTTTCTGTTATTCATAAAACTCCTTCATAAATCACGCTTTTACAGCCGTAAATTTTCACGTTTTGGTCTTACGTTTTAATCCGTCTTCTTTAGATTTTTTTTTCCTTGCTTTAAAACTAAATAGGTTACTTATGTAGGGCAACTTTACGAATTGTTTTTTAAGAATTATTCATTACTTTCTTTTAAAGTTGGTCTTTTCTATAATTTTTCTACCCTCCCTCCCCCCCCCCCCCCCCCCCCCCACTCACACACGCACACTTATCTTACCACAAGTGTACCACCACACTGAATTGGAATTTAAATATCTCGAATATTTCACTTTTAGTGCTACATAATAATATTATGGTTTATATCTAAAGGAAAAAGTTATTCGAAAAGGGGAGACAACCCATGTTTTTATATTATATTCATTCGTTGTATGCAGTTATCTACCCTGCATTAGTTGAACATACGTACTAATCTATACACGTTTACAAATTACTATTATCAATGAAACTATTAAATTACCTTTCATTTTTTATTAACTTAATTTTAAATCAATGCAATATTTAAATAAATGTTTGTATTTCTTCTCCCTCAGTATGTGCGCCATTGCTAGTCGTTCACCTGCTAGGGGAGCCAGTGACCCTCGGGTTTTTCTGTGATGACCCCTCCATCAGCTTACCCTACAGACCCGACACTGTCTCCCAGGCATGGCTGATGGTGGGCTGCTTCGGAGGTCCGCTGCTTGTGGTAAGTTGGTTGTTTTTTGGGTTTTTTTTTTCTTTTTTTTTTTTTTTTTTTTTTTTTTTTGTGGTCCTACGTTTGCAGTGATACCCAGTTACTGGTGTTTTGATTGTTGACTGTTGTATGGCTTGTGGTGTGTTTTATTGGTCTTTAATTCTCGTGTCTAGTGGGCTGTACTTCGCTTGTTGTTGTGTTTACGGTGCATTGTTTCTCTTGGCAACTATCTATTACTGGTGTCTTTGCCGGTGGTGCCTTGTTCGTGAAGTCCTTGTATTGTCAATGTCTTTGTAGTGCTCGATTACTAGTGGGCTTGTTTGGTAGTAGCAGTGGCGTAGCGAGGGGGTGGGGCAGGGGGTGCGGACCGCATCGGGTGACACCATTTCGAATTTTAATGACTTTTGTTCGCATAAGTGTAGTCTTATAGGCCTATGCTTCAAGCAAAAAAATATTATTTTAAATCTTACTTTCTACCTTCCGACCCGTCCCTAAACCCATGTTCATCTATATCACATCTTCGTATTCCAGTTCTCCATAACAGAAACTATCCGGGCCGCTTTGATGGCAAGGCAAAGCCAGCGCATGCGCACAGAGATTTTCAGCTGTGTCAAGTCGTACGCCATCTTTCTTTTCGGCTTCGCTGTGACCTGCATCTTCACAGACACCATCAAGTACTCCGTGGGCAGGCTGCGGCCACACTTCCTTGACCTCTGCAAGCCGGACTTTGGCAAGTTCAATTGTACCTCGGAGCATGGCACCCCCAGGTAGGAAGAAACTTCTGGAATTATTTTTTTTTTGGCGTGGAAGTTTTTAAAAGATTAGTAAAAGAAACTATAAATGTTGTGAGTGATAAGTGTTTTAAGTTGTATCCATGGCAATACATTTTATAACGGTAAAGATTAACTGTTCAGTTTTATCTATTAAACGATCAAAGGTATTAAAAATATTGATATACCAATCAAATCGTCAAAAAAAAGTTAAAATTTGCAAAGTGTTATACCTCGCGCAAAATATGAAAGAATTAACACTATTTTACCCATAAACATATAATTTACCCTCTGACAATTTTAGTCATTTTTTCCACCTAAATAACCGTTAAAATATAAATTTGTTTCTAGTAAATGATCCAAATATCCAGATTTACAACTGGAAATGAAACTCATACAGTTTTCCGAAACATAACCTAAGTTAAATATAAAACTATCGAATGAGCGATCGTTAAAATACAAAAAAAACACTCAAACTTTATAAAATGAAGACTGTTGTAGCGAGCTACGCACCAAAATTTCTTAACTGCACACCAAATTAAAATATAGCTTTAAAAGTTTTCGTAAGCCGCAGCGCCGCACCGTTTTGAACATCATATTGTAACCAACACAGCAGACCGAAAACAAATATCCTCAACATCTAAACCTCCGCTATGTTGAGGCACGTTCGCTGGTTTGTACGAAGACAGTGCCATTGTCTTTCGATCCTGCAAGTTCTGGTATGGCTCATGTCCTTTCTGATGCTGAAGCTGACTTTTATCGCTTTCAATGATTTGTTTACACTAAAGACGGGGATCATGAGGAACCTCTTCCCCCAACACTTGTGGTGAGTGGTTTTAGAATTGTTTTTAGTTTCTCTGTCATATAAATCTAGGGATGGCGTGAGGTGGAGATCTAGGGATGGCGTGGGGTGAAGATCTAGGGATGGTGTGGGGTGGAGATCTAGGGGGGATCTATGGATGGCGTGGGGTGGAGATCTAGGGATGGTGTGGGGTGGAGATCTAGGGATGGCGTGGGGTGGAGATCTAGGGATGGTGTGGGGTGGAGATCTAGGGGAGGGGGGATCTAGGGATGGTGTGGGGTGGAGATCTAGGGATGGCGTGGGGTGGAGATCTAGGGATGTCGTGGGGTGGAGATCTAGGGATGGCGTGGGGTGGAGATCTAGGGATGTCGTGGGGTGGAGATCTAGGGATGGCGTGGGGTGGAGATCTAGGGATTGTGTGGGGTGGAGATCTAGGGGAGGGGGGATCTAGGGATGGTGTGGGGTGGAGATCTAGGGATGGCGTGGGGTGGAGATCTAGGGATGGCGTGGGGTGGAGATCTAGGGATGGCGTGGGGTGGAGATCTAGGGATGGCGTGGGGTGGAGATCTAGGGATGGTGTGGTAGGGTTGAGATCTAGGGATGGCGTGGGGTGGAGATCTAGGGATGGCGTGGGGTGGAGATCTAGGGATGGTGTGGTAGGGTGGAGATCTTGGGATGGCGTGGTCGGGTGGAGATCTAGGGATGGCGTGGGGTGGAGATCTAGGGATGGCGTGGTCGGGTGGAGATCTAGGGATGGTGTGGGGTGGAGATCTAGGGATGGCGTGGGGTGGAGATCTAGGGATGGTGTGGTAGGGTGGAGATCTTGGGATGGCGTGGTCGGGTGGAGATCTAGGGATGGCGTGGGGTGGAGATCTAGGGATGGCGTGGTCGGGTGGAGATCTAGGGATGGTGTGGTAGGGTGGAGATCTTGGGATGGCGTGGTCGGGTGGAGATCTAGGGATGGCGTGGGGTGGAGATCTAGGGATGGTGTGGGGTGGAGATCTAGGGATGGCGTGGGGTGGAGATCTAGGGATGGCGTGGGGTGGAGATCTAGGGATGGTGTGGTAGGGTGGAGATCTTGGGATGGCGTGGTCGGGTGGAGATCTAGGGATGGCGTGGGGTGGAGATCTAGGGATGGCGTGGTCGGGTGGAGATCTAGGGATGGTGTGGTAGGGTGGAGATCTAGGGATGGCGTGGTCGGGTGGAGATCTAGGGATGGCGTGGTCGGGTGGAGATCTAGGGATGGTGTGGTAGGGTGGAGATCTTGGGATGGCGTGGGGTGGAGATCTAGGGATGGCGTGGTCGGGTGGAGATCTAGGGATGGTGTGGTAGGGTGGAGATCTAGGGATGGCGTGGTCGGGTGGAGATCTAGGGATGGCGTGGGGTGGAGATCTAGGGATGGCGTGGTCGGGTGGAGATCTAGGGATGGTGTGGTAGGGTGGAGATCTAGGGATGGCGTGGTCGGGTGGAGATCTAGGGATGGCGTGGTCGGGTGGAGATCTAGGGATGGTGTGGTAGGGTGGAGATCTAGGGATGGCGTGGTCGGGTGGAGATCTAGGGATGGCGTGGTCGGGTGGAGATCGAGGGATGGTGTGGTAGGGTGGAGATCTAGGGATGGCGTGGTCGGGTGGAGATCTAGGGATGGCGTGGTAGGGCGCTAACACGAAAGTCTTGAGTTTAGTTCTCGGTTCGGACTTGAGTTTTCCGAGTCAACTCAGCTCTGATGGGTACCTGATTCACCTCAAGGATGGTAACGGTTACATTAGGCCTGAAAGAGGGACTTATCATAAAGACCTAGTATCGAAGAAATATTTTCTAAATGTAGTGTATTATAGAAACATACACATACTTATCATGAACAGTGAATATCGAAGAAAGCTGATATTAGTATTGCTACAACTTTAGATATAGCCTTAACCTTAACCCTTGGACGGCTTGGCCTTGCGGTAGAGCGTTAGACTACTTACCCGAGTTCGAATCCGAGTTCAAGTCAGTAGCACGTCCTTGAGTCCACCCAGCTCTAATGGGTACCTAACTCACATTAGGGAAAGTAAAGGTGGCTGGGCATAGTGTAGACCACATTATCCCTTCACATGCCGAGGTCAAGATACATATGAACTCTACTTTATCTGCCCAATGGATCGCTAAGTCTAAAAAGAATCTTTACTTTTTTTTTTTTTACTTTACTAGGCTTAGCTATATCCCTCACTATAACCCAACTCAAACGTAAATAGTAATACCAGGATATACTATGGACCATTTTAGTGGAATTAGTAACGTCTGTTTTAATACTGCTACACATATTAGTGACACACCTCACTAAATGACCCCACCCCACGACTCCCCCCCCCCCCACCCAGGTACATCCCCAGTATTCTGAAAGCGCCACCCGTCAGGTACCCGGAGGACAGCCTGACCCAGGTGGTGATAGACACGGCAGACGTGTGCGGTGACCTTGGCCGGTACGACGCCCTCATGATGGTTCACACGGCCAACGCCCACTTTGAACACCGCCAGAGTTACCGCGACACGTATGGGAACGAGGCCTTCACGAGCCCGTACAGGATTAAGGTAGGTGTGGCCAATGGCGGATGAGGGGTACTGGAGGGAGAGGAACGGGGGGGGGGGGATTTAGAGGCTCTTTTTTAGAGTGAGTGGTTTCGTTTTCAACTTGTGTGATGTGTGCCCGTCTTAAAGCATTGAATTTTGGAATCAGTTTTGCTATATTGTTTGACTCAAACCAGAGGCGTAGCGAGGGGATTGGGGGGGGGGTGGACCGCACCGGGTGACACCATTTAGGGGGTTGACACCAAGGCAAAAAATAGCAAAATATAGAGAGAAAAACTTGAGCGGGGGTGCAAATCGAAAGTTTGAGGGGGGGGGGGGCAAATTGAAACTTTGAGGGGGGATGCAAATCGGAAATTTGAAAGTTTATCCCCGGGAAGGGTCGCTACGCCTCTGGGGGGGGGGGGGGGTGACACCATTAAGTGCTGAACCGGGTGACACCCGACCTCGCTACGCCATGATAAAAATTCCCAGTTTTACTACACGAATACAGCTGTTTGTACTCTCCCCCCCCCCTCCATCTCCTTGACAACATCAGATGGTGTTTTTCATGGGACTGCCAGAGGACCAGACCTTAAGTCCCCGGCTGGTTGAGGAGAACTCCCTTCATGGCGACACGGTACAGGGCAACTTCGTGGACACGTACCAGAACCTGACATACAAGGCTGTCATGGCATTCCGGTACTGTTGCCTTTTGTCCATCCGGTAGTGATGGCGATTGTCATTTCGTTACTGTTGTCTGCTGTCATTTTGGTACTATTGTATTGCCATTTCGACACTGTTGTCTATTGTAGTTGCGGCAGTTTTGTCTCTTGGCATTCGGGCATTTTTATCGCTTGTCATTTTGTTAGTGTTGTTTCTGGTTTACAGTTACACGTGGTTCAATTATGTTGTTCATTGATGTAGCGGTAAAATTGTTCAGAGCCTGTGTTGGCTAAACTTCCTACCTTAGCCTTAACCCTACTTTCAACTTAAGCCTAAAACTCATTATTTACATTTTCAACAAACTTTACCTATGTTGTCCTACCGGCATGTGTATAAGGACCCTTTTAGTAGATATTTAGTACATGTAGACAACGTCTTCTTTTCGTATGTGTTCCTTTAAATAATAGACTTGTGATAGTTATGGGTGTCCTTAAATCCCTCAATGTGTGTTACACAGATGGGTGTCCAAAAATTGCAAGAACGTCAAGCTTGTTTTGAAGATGGACGATGACGTCATATTGGATGTGCATCGATTTTTCGAGGTCACTCGTTCGCTGTCTTTAATTAATTTACTATAAGTAATTGCATATACTTTTATAGTAATTTGTTAACTAAGAAAACGTTGCCTTCGGTAAAAGTCAGTTTATAATTTGAACTCTCACCGTGTCGCGGTACAGACAATACAATCAATCCACAGTGAGCTTCAAATTTTTTGTTGAGGAATTTTAACTCCCCCTCTCAAACCAACAAGACATCATCTACTGCACCTACAATACTGAGCTTATTTGACCTGTCCAGGAGTTTAAGCCCCCACCCCCTTACCAACAAGACATCATCTACTGACCTTCAATTCTGAGCTTATTCCCCCTGTCCAGGAGTTTAAACTCCCGGCCCCCTACCAACAAGAGATCTACTGCACCTACAATGCTGAGCTTATTTCCCCGTCCAGGAGTTTAAGCCCACGCCCCCTTACCAACAAGACACCATCTTCTGCCACCTACAATCATAAGCTTATTCCCCCTGTCCAGGAGTTTAAGCTCCCGTCCCCCTACCAACAATACATCATTTACTGCACCGAAATTCTGAGCTTATTTCCCATGTCCAGGAGTTTAAGCTCCCACCCCCCTACCAACAAGACATCATCTACTGCACCTACAATGCTGAGCTTATTTCTCCTGTGCAGGAGTTTAAGCTCCCGTCCCCCTACCCACAAGACATCATCTACTACACCTACAATGCTGAGCTTATTTCTCCGTCCAGGAGTTTAAGCTCCCGTCCCCCTACCCACAAGACATCATCTACTGCACCTACAATGCTGAGCTTATTTCTCCTGTGCAGGAGTTTAAGCTCCCGTCCCCCTACCCACAAGACATCATCTACTGCACCTACAATGCTGAGCTTATTTCTCCTGTGCAGGAGTTTAAGCTCCCGCCCCCCTACCAACAAGACACCATCTTCTGCCACCTATGGAAGAACGCGGAGGTCGAGAGAAAGGGCAAGTGGGGTATCTCTTACGACGAGTACGCCAGCGACTGGTACCCAGCCTACTGCAGCGGCTTCTTCGTCGTCATCATGCCAACTCTCATGGACGACGTGTACCAGGTAGCAGAGGGGTTGTCACTGGCACTACGGTGTCGAGATTCTATGTTAGGCTGAAAAATATCCGCACCGTGTCGGGATTCTATGTTAGCCTGAAAAATACATCCGCATCGTGTCGATATTCTTTCAATGTTAGGCTGAAAAACCTCAGCATGGTATCGGATTCCTATACTACAACACTAAGTCGTGTTTGTTAGTTGTTTTTTTTCCCCTGCACAGTGGTAATGTCTATTGTGGTGTAACGTCTGTTGTCCAATGCGTGTTTTTGTTCGGGTTTTTCTTGGGTAATCGACATGCCTCTATTGGGGTATTCTCAGGACTGATAGTCCACACATGCAAAGTAGTAGAGATTTTGTATGACCTCAACTTAAAAACGGATTGTGGGGTCAACACTATGCCCGTCGTACATTGATTTGTCCGATTTGGCCTTAAGAATTTTACCAAAATAGCTGAGGTGATTTGAAAAAAAAAAAAATAAGCGGAGTTATTGTATTTAGTTTATTTGTCAGTGTCTCTAATAGTATCCTAACCGTAGGCGTCGTTCATCTAATCCTAATTCTGTTTTTTTTTTAACTTATTCCCTAGCCTTAATTAATTGAATTCTGCCCCAAATGGCGATAGCTGTATTACTATTACTCTCTATGTCTTACCTCGGTTTTTAGAGGATCAATTTACAGTAGTCAAAGATCATTCTAACACTAGAGACAAGTCGGACTTTCATCACAGTGTAGTAGTCTCGATATGTTCTTTGTAATCTTCATCACAGTGTAGTAGTTTCGATCTGATCTTTGTAATCTTCATCACAGTGTAGTTTCGATCTGTTCATTGTAACCTTCATAACAGTGTAGTAGTTTCGATCTGTTCTTTGTAATCTTGCATGGCTACACATATCCCCCCCCCCCAAAATACATCTAAGGCGTCACAAAATTGTCCCCCACCGTACATCGCCGCACCCTCCGTTCCCCAGGCGGCCAAGACCACGCCCTTCCTGTGGCTGGATGACGTGTACATCTACGGCGTGGTCAGGCAGGAGCTGCACTACATCCAGATCATCAACCTGGACCAGGTGGCCTTCAGGGAGCGGTACTACCACAGCTGCAACAAGGACTACGGCTACAGGTGCTAGCGTGGTGTTGGTAAACTGATGACAGACTAGCTACATGAGTTAGTAAAGTGAGCAGAGTTTCTTCCAGACATCTCTTCGGGGGGGGGGGGGGGGGGGGGCGACACAACCCCCCCCCCCCCCCCAGGGAGAAAGTCTACCGCCCCCCTCCCCCCCCCCCTCCCGAACGAAATGGAATTTATGTAAAAAACATATACTTTTACCATTGCCGCCCCCAGGAAAATGTTGACCGCCCCCCCCCCCCCCCCACCCCAAAAATATCAAGTGCCCCCCCCCCCCACCCTTTAGAAAAAAGTCTGGAAGAAACACTGAAATTGAGGTCAATAAAACATGCTTGTTTGTGCTCTGTTCAAAGAAAAACTAGACAAATGTGCGTGATACGGAAAAAAGGTCGCCATAAACGGAATGCCGATTTCGACAAAAGGCCGATATGGGCAAAAGGCCGACAGGAAATAAGGTCGACAAATGTAGGTCTTTTGAATGTCGTGCCTTTTGTCCTACTCCCCCAAATAAGTTTTCGATATGGTGGTCAGTTTGATGAAAGACTAAACACTTGAGGTGTATGCGATGTGGTCGTCAATATAAGACGGATTCGGATATTTTGGTAAATTAGATTTGGGTTGTTGGGGTCACTTAGTTGAAGGGAGAATCGTGGTGTTGTGGGTCAAGTAGAAGGTATACGTCTTGTGATGTTGGGGTCAACTAGAAGTTATACATCTTGTGATATTGGAGTCAATTAAACTAGTGACGCTTTTTGGATGCCAGGATCAATGAGATTCTTACAATACGCATGGCAATTTGTTGCATATTTTAAATTCATATTTCCCCAGATGTAAGTACTGGGCCACGGTGGTCGGAGACTCCACGCCGTTTGTTCCCACCATGCTAAAGCTGCGGGCAGACAGGGTTCGAGTCCTGGAACTCAACGCCACTGGCACCGTGCCTAGCCGCGTGTACACCCCGCCCAACATGATCGGTGACCTTGGCCTTCAGATGTCAGAGGTCAACCTCAGCTCGACGCAAGCCGTGTGAGTCAGGGGAGACACGTCAGACGGTTCGCTGTGTATCTGGCAGATGACGGAAATAATTATTGTGTAGATGATTTAATTAAATGAAATAGTTTTCTGAAAGTATAACATCAAACCTTACTATAATGATTGTTTATACTTTTGTATAATAAAAGTTTTATATTTCTGCAATAAAAAATATAAGTTTATTATATAGAAAATATTATATAGAAATGTGTTCAGATTTCAATTAAATGTGTCTTGCTATTTTAAAAATTAATATTCGTTGAAGTAATTATTAGGGGGTCATCGAGATAATTCAGATTTAATATCAAGATTAATAATTACAATTGTACTACTATTGTAAAAAAATAGATCTATTTTTTTTTAATCTAAGACGAATTGTAATTTTTTTATGAATCGATTGTGACAATTAAACATGTTTCATAATGTGTACAACATCTAAATAAACTGAAGCCATACATTCCTGTGAATTATCATTTGTTTCGTTCATTATTCAGACTTCAATTATAAGTTTTAATCTTTACAAGTTTAAAATGTATTGCCAGCGTCAAAGCATTTACTTTCAGTTAAATATTGCATGTCAAGATTAAATTTAAGTTCTTGTTCAAATGATATATATATATATATATATATATATATATATATATATATATATATATATATATATACATAGTTGTTTCTAAGCTAGTAAATTGATGTGGGTAAACAATCAGGAAGTAAAGCCACAAAGTTACCTGTGTCATATTACCTCCCCAGGTACGTGCTGGACTACGAGTGTACCAATACAGGGGTCAGTGACAAGCTAATGACTGACAGCCGTATGTCATTCCCCTCTGGCCACGCCTCCACCTCAGTCTACAGTGCGATTTTTGTCGTGGTGAGTACCTCGTATGCAATGAACTTTTTGTAACACTAGTTTATGTTTGAGTTTTTAATATCAATTCCCATTTGTGCACAAGACACATGGAGCAGATGAAGTAGAGTTCTTTTCATTCGGAGACCTCGGCATATGAAGTGATAGACTGACCAGAACCATTCCCAACAGCCTTTACTTTTCCTAAGGTGTACACAAGGACGTTCTATTGATTTAAAACCAGATTCGAACTAGGGATTAGCGCTCAACCACTAGGCCACGCACCCCTTATATATATATATATATATATATATATATATATATATATATATATATATATATATATATTCTTATTTATTTATTTATATCGCAATTCAGTTGTTTTGAATGATGGCGTTTTAAGTTGTATAATCAATTGGATTTACAATAAGTAACTTTACTTTTTTTAAATGACACCAAAATGATAATTTGTATTCTGTCTTGCCCAGCTCTACCTACAGATGAGGATGCAGCTGAAGATCTCCCACCTGCTGCGGCCGGTGCTCCAGATGGGGATCCTGATTCCAGCCACGCTCTGCTGCGTCTCTAGGGTGACTGACCACAAACATTTCGCCACGGACGTTCTGGCCGGCGCCTGTCTGGGATCGGTTCTAGCCTGGCTGGTGGTGAGTTGGGTTTGAGATTTGGGACAGACAGACGTGAAGACAGACTTAGATACAGACAGACGTGAAGACAGACCTAGGTACTGACAGACGTGACGACAGACCTAGGTACTGACAGACGTGACGACAGACCTAGGTACAGACAGACGTGACGACAGACCTAGGTACAGACAGACGTGGTGACAGGCTTAGATACAGACTTAGATACAGACCTAGATATAGATTTAGATATATTCTTAGATTTAGACTTAGATACTGTCTTAGATACAAACTTAGATAAAGATTTAAAAGCAAACATAGATGCAGATTGTGATGCATACTTAGATAGACTTGGATACAGACTTGAACGCAGACAGATACAGCCATAGACGCAGAGTTAGATAGATTTAGATACAGAATTGAGACTTACTCAAACAGAGACATGGGTACAGACTTAGACATATACTTAAAGTCATACTTAGACAATATGTAGACATACTTAAACACATCTTTAAACACATCTTTAAACACAGACTTTACGGCTTAGGTAGCGGCATATTTAGAAGCAAACTTCGAGAGACTTAACGACAGATATACTTAGTCCTCTTTGCTCCTTATGTAACATAGGGCCTCCACCATTTCTTTCCATTTTGTCCGATTCCCGGCTATTAATTTTTGGCGAAGGATTAGATATACAATTAATATTTACCTATAAATCACCATCATTTTTTTTTAATATACACATTTTCTAAATCAATTTCTGTGTTACAAAAGTGAGAAGTGAAACCTCAACATATCTTGTGAAAAAAAAAATACATTACACCTAACCTCACCCAAATTAACATTTTTCTATTTTGTTCCCCTTTTCCAGTTCACCAAATTAGGTCAAAGGTTAATCCCAAGCTCGCCTTCAGAAAAACCCCGCCTGCCTAGGGCGACCTCCATAGAATCCGAACCCCAGACGCCGACGCCCCTGCTCCGTCCAGAGCGCCTCATCATCCAGAACTCCTACAGAAACTCTACTGTACCATGCTCGAAGGAGGATTTCATGAACAAAGTCTAAACATCGGAATCGCTCCAAAGTTGTAGTTCGTTGAACTCGCGAAGCGGGAACACGCTAGACTGAATGAAAGACTTAGTGCTTAAAACTACGCTGGCTGACCGTTAAACTGACCAGTGGATTGACCTTATGTTGTAACGGTTGACCTGTAATTTTTAAAAAACTGGTTATGAAGAGGTCACGTAATGGCCGCTGACATCCATCCGTGGATATTTTTAGCTAACTAGGTCATCGACCAAAGAAGGGGAAATAACTGTGTTAATTTGTTTAGGTTGCTAAAAAAATTGTAAATAATTAATTATACTTGTAACAGTAGGTAATAAAAATGTGTATTCGTTATGTAAATTGCATGATTTCCATATGTAATTTAACACGCTAAGTTATAACTTCATGTTTAGACGATAAAATATACACCGTACAATGCAAAACACTCCTTGTATAAGATTTTGTTGTGTTCTTTTTGTGATGCGCTTCACATTCCATCTACACGATAGCATAATAAATCGCCTTCCTTAGTCGTAGGCTAAGTATTACCTGTTAATGGATTCATAGGGTGACCGGAAAGATGCGCAACGGAAAAATGCGCACAAAAAAGTGCGCCAATGTATTTTTGTTATCTTAAATCGAGCATTTATAGACATTAACAAAGAACGACCATATGTACATTGTAGCAAAATAAAACATTTTTTCCACGAAATAGGTCAAAATTAAAATGTAGTATTATAATTAATTTGTATCTGAATAATTTTCTGTTGGCGCATTTTTCCGTATCGCAGTTTTCCGTTGCGCGGTTTACCGATTGCCCATATTTCTGGGATCCGAATCATAGTTACCTGGTATAATGCCAAGAGCTACCTTTTAATTGACTCTTAGCAACCTGCCAAGAATTACCTTCTAATGGGTTCATAATTACTTGAATGCTAAGATTTACTTGCTGTTGAAGTCATAGTTAACTAGTTACATGCTAATAGTTACTTAGAGTTACTAACTTCTTTGTGAATACTTTCAGTAAAAGGCAAGTCTTGTTTGTAGAAATTGTAATCACAAACGATTTCAAATGTTAAAATTTTGAACAACAAATGGGAAACCTGTAGATTTAAGGTACAACAAATTGTCATGGTAGCATTCATATCAACCATTTTTATTTTTATTTTATTTTAAATAGACTTTGATAAAGATCTCAATACATTTTAGTTCTATTAAATATTTTTTGTAGCTTTTCTTTTTTGTAAGGACATTTTTTTAAATAACTAATTAGCCTAATTTAAAGACAAATTTATTTCTACTATAACAAAAGACTAATTTTTTCTTTGATAATTAAAATAGCAAAATAATGTAGTTTTTGTAAGGGTAATAATTTTACTTATAAACTTACAGCTATTTCTTTTACCAAAGGCCCAAAGGTTGTACCCCAAAGAATCTTTCAATTAACAGTTTGAAAAAATCTATTAGTCGCAGATAATAGCTACAATTTAAGATAATGACATTTGATTGATGTTTTTAAATTTTTCATTAGACTGGTTATCAATTTTAGAAAACACAAACTCGTTAAATAAATGCATTCCTTCTGTAAATACTGTATATTTATTGTATGTCCACTGCTTATGTGCAGTCTGTAAGTTAATACTTGCAACAGATGTAGTGGATCTAGATTGATTTGTAACTTAATTAAATAAAAAAGAAATTGAAAGCAATGTTTTGAGTTTTCTTACTGAGTTCTTAAACCTGGTTTTTTTAAGTCGTCGCAAAGGTGTGTACCTGAAGGGGGATGAACAGGGTTTCTTTCAAATATTTTTTTCCGGTAGGTAATTAAATCTTCCAAGGGGGTCGAATTTAAAATGCCCGAGGGTGTGATGGGCTGGAGAGGATGCTGGTTAAAGTACATATATATATATATATATATATATATATATATATATATATATATATATATATATATATATATATATATATATATATATATATATTAAAGTATATATTTTCTATATAAATTATATTTATTTTCTATTTCCTTCGAGGTGGGGGGGGGGGGCAGTAATACAATTACATATAATACAATATTTTTTTAGTCTGTAAGTTTAAATATCTATTTAAATAGTGATTCAAAATTATGTGGAAGGTTGAGAGAGGGTGGGGAAAGGTCTTTAAAAGAATATTAGAATTTATCTATTTTTAATTTCAAAACATTTATTTGCCTTTTAAAACAAACACATCAACATATTTTACTTAAATTCAAAACATCAAATGAAAACAAAGGATTTTTGCAAAAGTACATGATGAATATTTAAATGTAAAATAAGGGTGTTGGAATCCCGTGCTGACGGGGGGGGGGGGGGGAGTGGGAGAGAACTCGTTGGAATAAAAAAAAGTTTTGAATAAAAATAGTTTTTTTTTTTTTTTTTTTTTTTTTTTTTTAAAGTTTTCAAGCTTATTCCAGAAGCTTCAATTGAAAGCAAAATATTATCTTTAACATATGATATGGAAGCAGACAAATAATCCTAATCAAAGTTTTCCAAGATCTATTACTAACATAAAATGCTATTTTAATATGTGCTTTAGGGATAAGGCACACAGAACTTGGTATGATGAAAATTTTTGTATCCACGATGAAACTTGTATTGTAATGTACGAAGTGTAAGATGGAATGCATCTTGCTTTACAGCAAGAAATATATTTTGTTCCTAAACTACAGTAAAAAAACCAGTTTTAGCTAAGAAAAATTATTAGAAAACAAAAATACAATTAATAGGGAATGAATATTTTTTCTTTTTGAAAAACTAAAAGTATATAATGATTTTTACATAAAAGTAGTCTAAAATATAAAATTGGATATATGAAGCAATAAAGGAAGGCAAAATTAGAAATGGATCAGTTAACATATTACTATGCTACAAGGATGGCGCCGAGACATCAGAACAGCAACAAGTGATGCTGTTTCTAAGATTATTTTGTTGACTAAGTAATAAATGAAACACCACAGTAAAATTAAGCTGATTCTTGTTTGGGACAAGGAGACATGCCAACTAGGAGAAGGTATGATAGTTGGGCTGGAAGTATAAAGGAATGTAATTGAAACCCACACAGCTTGTTACCTTGCCTATTGGTGCATTTTTTTTTGCACAATAATTTTAAGCATTAAATTTATGACAAGGTATGAGACAAAGCTAGATCTATGTAGTCTTTAATATTTGTATTTACATATTTTAAAAGAAGAAATAATTATGGCAGTCAAAGATGTCTGTTGGCAGGACCAATTAGCTGAACAGGTTGAAGAAAAAAACAGCTGAATCTGACACACAGGTAAACATCCAGAATGCAAGTCTAAATGTCTTTGACAACAATCATTTTACATCCTTTTAAAATATTTGAGTAGACAAGCTCATCCCTAAATGTAAAGTTATAACTAGGCTACTAAAAACTGTCTAATTATGTTGCTCTGACCGTCTCCACATAGTGAATTAGCCTAGATCATCATCTTGGATGTTGCTAATGATACGTTTAGGTGTGCGTGTTCTGGTAATTAGAATAGCCAAGCTGCATTTAATAAAAATAGTTATTATTATTATTATTAACAGTATAATAAAAATAGTTTTTTTTTTTTTTTTTTTTGGCGTTTAATATTGTTCCTTCCACAAGTGGATAGGTTGCATGTTAAAAAATTACAATGTGATACATAGTATAACATTAAAAGATTTACAATGTCTTAATATTCCTTCTGATTTCTCTGTTCCCTGTTTCTTTGTTCCTATTTCTTGGTTCCATTTGTTTCTTTCTTGATTTTGTTTCCGGTTTGCTATGACATAAAGTACAGGACAGTACAAACATGATCGCTTCTCTGTTTTTTGGCCTTTCTTCTTTTGCTTGATACGCACTTGGTTTGATAGTGGTTTATTCTTTGTTGGTAGTTGTACTTGGTGAGAGTGAGTTTGGTGTCTTGTCGTTGATGGTGAAGTTGGTCGAATGGTGTAGAACTTGCGTTGAGGTAAGGCATGATGCGCATGGTGGTAGAGTTGTTCGATGAATTGAAGCTTGGGGAGATGAGGTGGGTTCTTGTGTTGGGAGATCTTTCGAGGTGAGTTGCTTTGAAGTATTGTTCATTGAGGTTTGGAGAGGAGTAGAGTTGTGACGTAGTCGAGTGATTGAGTTGGGCGAGGTGACGTTGAAGAGTGAAGTTTGCTGGTGTTGCTGAGTCGATGGTTTTGAGCTTGGTGAAGTGATGAGGTGGGCGAGGTAGAGCTGTTGGCGAATGTTTATTTTGAGTAGATGATTTTGAGAGATGGTTAGTTGATTTGCTAGTGTTTTGACGGAAGCTTCCCACCTAAGATTTCTCCTAGGTGGGTGTCGTCAGAATGTTAGTGAGTTTGTTGGGAGCGAGGTAGTTGCGTTTGACGTAGTAGATGAGTTCGATTTCTTGAGCGAGGTAGTTGCGTTTGACGTAGTAGATCGCTTCTCGGCCTTTTGGCTAAGATCAAAGTGTAGTATCTGTTATGGATCTACACGGATCTTAGCCATTTGGTTGGTCAGCCCTTTTTAGGGCTGGCTGCCGGGGTCGAGAGGCGGTCAAACCTACTACTCTAACTCACGCAAATCTCGCAAACGACCGCTGTGGGGTTGCTCCCACACATCCCTCGAACGCACACGCTCTCGAGATGAGTCACCCAGTACTTGTATTGGGTGGCTTCAAATGTACGAGTGGCTAACTTTTCAATCTTTTATTTTTCAGCCTGACGACACCCATCTAGGAGAAATCTTAGGTGGGAGGTCCGTCACAATCGCCAAACAATCGAACTCATAATAAAAATAGTTAATTGAATAACTTAATAAAATAAATTAGATATTGAAATTGCTAGCATAAGCAATAGTATTTATATAAATACGAATAAAATACAGTTACGGTGCCTCATTTCCAATTATAGTTTTACATACGACATACAAACGTTTTTATTTATAAAGCTTATATTAATGTTTATTGACTTTGTATGTTTTTAAGTATTTAGAAAACTTTTTCCTTTAGTGCGGTGGTTTACTCTTCTTTTTTTATTTAATTGACTAATTTAACTCTTTTTGCATTTTTTCCCTTTTCTTCTGTTACTTGTTATAAGGGGGACAATCAACGCTTCCGCTAGCTTTTAATTTATCTAAATGTAATTTAATCGTTTAAAAAATTATTTTACATTGTTAAAAACTAGATTAAAACTCAGACTTTAATAACTGGCAAAGATTTCAGATTCACCCCTTTAGACAGAGCTCAGATTAAAAACATGCAGGTCTGCCGTTGTTCAAGCTTGCGTAAAATTAACAATTAAAAAAAAAAAAAAAATTGATTGTGCGCAGGTGCTCATTATAAATTTTTTTTTTTTAAGTGAAAGAAGGAGACAGTTAGATCAAAATATTTTGGGAACATGCTCACTTTATTTATTTTTAAAAAATAGAGAATGAAGGAGACAGATCCATATTTTTGGGTACTCAAGCTAAATAATATTTTAGTGTAGGACTGAAGTCAGCAGGAAACATAACCCGGTAAACATTTTAAACTTTAGTATAACCACGGTTTGTTCCCTTGATAGTATCTAACTATCCTGACGTCTCTCTGGTGATTGACGGCCTAAAGTGGAAGTTAAACTAGGTAGTAGCGTAGCGAGGGGGGCCGGGGGGGACATATGTCCCCGGGCGCCGACCTTAGGGGGCGCCAAAATGGGTTGGAAAGATAAATTGAGAGGTTGTAAATCAAAAGTTTGAGGGCGGGGGGGAGGTGCAAATCGAAATCTCGAGGGGGGGGGTGCAAATCGAAAAGTTTGTCCCCGGGCGCCGGGAAGGGTCCCTACGCCTCTGAAACTAGGGTTTCTTTCCGATATTTTTCTCCGGGGGAGGGTAATTTGAAATTTCTCTAGGTCTAGGGCAGGGGTCGGCAACCTTTTGAAGCGGAAGAGCCAAAAGTTTCAATTTTCAAAATTTCCCTGGTTTTAAAGAGCCACTAACATTTTTTTTATTTCAAATATTTTATTTTTTTATTAAGATTATTAGTGTTGGTTCGAGGAGCTGGAGAGCCGCATCTTGATATCAAAAGAGCCGCATGCGGCTCGCGAGCCGCAGGTTTCCGACCCCTGGTCTAGGGGGCACTGGTAAAAGTATATATTTACTATATAAAGTATGTATTTTGTCTATAACGTCTAGGGATGGGGGGGGGGACGTGTTCCAGGGAGGGGGGGGGTTCTGCCCCGAAATAAACACTGTTGATTGCTGACCTAGCTTTTGCCATACGAATTGTTGCTGATTCTATTCCAGCAAGCTCAGTGGGAATGGGTCTAGTATTTATAGAGGCAATATTGGGAATTATATTTTCATGAGTCTTTTTATCAATATGTTAACACCATAAGAATAAATAAAATATGTAGTAATTGGAGGAATGTTTTAAATGTTCTCACATGTTCTGTGAATGTTATAAATGTTGCGACATATTCTACGAGAGTTTTAAATGTTGCGACATGTTCTGGGAATGTTTTAAATGTTGCGACATATTCTACGAGAGTTTTAAATGTTGCGACATGTTCTGGGAATGTTTTAAATGATGCGACATGTTCTGGGAATGTTTTACATTTGTGACATGTTCTGGAAATGTTTTAAATGATGCGACATGTTCTGAGAATGTTCAAAATGTTGCGACATGTTCTG